AATATTCATATTATACAAACCAAAGCTCTTTGGAGTCTTTCAGTAATTTTTAAAGAGTATAAAGGGATCATGAAACAAAGAGACCACTGTATTAGATGAGTTCTCCTGACTTTTTTAGTTCAGAGAAATTTTGAAATACTGAGTTATAATCAAACATATTTTCAACAGGGAGCAGTTCTGAAGCCAGAGCTGAAAAGGGACCCCGTCAGCACGAGAGTCAAGTTAAAGATTGTTCCTCATCTCCTCCGTTCTAGACAAGCTGCTGAAACGTTCCCAGCTAACATTCAGGTAATTTGTTCTTTCCAGACAGAAATGGCCTATCTGTTAACTTTTATGTCTGTTTAATTAGAGAAAGGACTGTGTTAGTGAGTATTCAGGAAGTAGGTTGATGTATATATAATAAGATTAATGAGATTCTTTTTTTCCGTCTTTAAGTTTGCTGTTGAATGATTTTTAAAAAATGTATTATAGAGTATATACAGGTGAGCACTCCTAAATCAAAAATCCAAAATGCTTCAAAATCTGAAACTTTCTGTGCATCAACATGACACCACAAGTGAAAAATTCCCAGACCTTATTTCATGTGATAGGTTGCAGTTAAAATGCATTCAAGACCTTGTTTTATGCACAAAATTATTAAATATTGTATAAAATTACCTTCAGGCTTATGTGTGTAAGGTCTGTATGGAACATAAATGAATTTTGTGTTTAGACTTGGGTCCTAGCCCCAAGATATCTCATTGTGCATATGCAAATATTCGAACAAAAAAGTCTGAAATCCAAAACAGTTTTGGTTCCAAGCATTTTGGATAAAGGGACTTTCAACCTATATTATATATGGTTTCCATTTACCCTAAAGGAATGGCAGAAATCCGTTTCAAACTCATGAAAGACCATATATGCAAGGGTTTACCTTGGCTATGTGTTGTATTTCATTGGTTTATATGTTTGTCTTTATGCCAGTACCGTATTGTTTGATTACTATAGCTTTGTTTGTACTAACTTTTGAAATCAGAAAGTGTAAGCCCTCTTGCTTTGTTCTTCTTTTTCAAAAGTGTTTTGACTATTTGGGATCCCTTGAGCTTCCATGTGAGTTTTAGAATGGGTTTTTCTATTTCTGCAAAAAAAAAAAAGTTGGGATTTTGGTAGGGATTGCATTGAATTTGTAGATCGCTTTGGTTAGAAATGCTGTCTTAACAATATTAAGTATTCCAATCCACTAATATGGGATGTGTTTTTGTTTATTTATGTCTTTTTTATTTGCCTTTAGCAATGTTTTGTAGTTTTCATTTTACAAGTTTTTCACCTCCTTGTTTAATTCCTAAGTATTTTATTCTTTTTGGTACTATTGTAAATGGAATTGTGTATGTAATTTTTTTTCAGATTGTTCATTGTTAGTATAGAAAAGCAACTGATTTTTGTGTGTTGACTTTGTATCTTTTGTATACCTGCCTGTAGTGTATAATTCTTTCAGAATGCTGCTGAGGCTGGGCATGGTGGCTCACACCTGTAATCCCAGTATTTTGGGAGGCAGTGGAGGGAGCATTGCTTGAGGCCAGGAGTTTGAGATCAACCTGGGCAACATAGTGAGACTCCCATCTCTACATAAAAAAAAAAAAAAAATTTGGTGGTGTACGCCTGTAGTTCCCACTACTTGGGAAGCTAAAATTGAGCATATTCAAAGATAAAACTCAATGTCCATCACCCCCCTCGTAAACATTCTTCCTTTTGTTATAGTCTTACATGCTCATTTCTAATGATGGCATCACCATTCTCCTACATGGTTTGTCCTGCCCCTTTCTTTACCCATCTGTACATCACAGAATCTTTCAAGGTATCATCCAGATGAGTCTCTTCTTTCCTGATACCTATGCCTGTAAGTAGGCATGTCTTATCTTACCTCAGTTCTGAATATATATAAAAGCACCCAAAACAGTTCTTCACTTATGTATACCATAAATTTTCTTTTTCCCAGAGAACATTAGTGTTCTAAATTAATCCTTCTGCTTCTATTATCTTAATCATATTACACTATGTAATATGACTATCAGATTAATGGTTAAAAAAAGTCTGTTTCAAATAATACAGCACTTCATTATATTTTCTCCTTTATCATT